CAGGAGCGGGCCTTAGCTGGCGCAGGCGATGCCGGCTGGGTTTAGCCGGCGCTGAGCATCCCTCCCGCAGGGTCAAGGCCTTCCCTGTCTCACCGGCGAGTAGGCTGGGGGTGGGGGGAGACTGGGGGGGCGCAGCCGGGACAGCCGACCCCCACAGACCAGAGGGGGGTCCCCACACCTTACAGCATCACAGTTCAAGCACTAAAACGGGGAGGGGGCCAGAGCAGCCGTGGCGTGGGGACAGGCTGGGCATTGGTCTGTGCCCGGTGATCGGTGCCTTTGCATCGCTTGGGGCTTTTTGTGTGCGTGTGTTTTTCTTTTTTTCCCCTTGCTTACTGCACCGACTTTCTCTCGATGCACGAGTTTTTCTTGCTTTTGCCCTTGCGATTCCCTCCCCGGTTCCGTGGGTGGGGGGCAGTGGGTGAGCGGCTGTGTGGGCGCTGAGCTGCTGGCCAGGGTCAGCCCACCACAGGGGACCAGGCTGGGCTTTCTGCCCTGTCTGCTACGGCTCCTCTGACCCCAGGCTGTCCCCAGAGGACCACGAGTGGCTGCTGAGTGAAGAGGTCGACATTCTGCCCTTCCTTCTCCTGCCTCTCGCAGGCCCTGAGGAATTTCCTGAGGATGAGATGGAAAGTAAGAGGGTGCCAGGGTGGGCGGTGAGCGTCCGGGGGCTGCTGGCCGCGTGCCCCTCCCTGAGGCTGCCTCTCCCCCAGGGCTGCCCGTGGACCTGCAGTACCTGCCGCAGGACAAGCAGCGGGAGGAAGAACCCGATATCCGGAAGATGCTGCTGGAAGCCATCATGCTGGTGGGTCCCTGCGGTGCAAACCATGGCGGGGCTGAGGGGAGAGCCTGGGTGGGGGCTCCTGGGAGCAGGAGGGTGTTCAGGGCCGCCCTGGAACACGCTGTCTGCCGGGAGATCCTCACGGAGAAGCGATGATGTCTGGGCCGGACGAGCAGGCAGTGAGGTGGATTGAAAACTGGATGGGCCCAGGGCCGATACGGGGTCAGTCCTGTTCAACATCTTGTGTTGTCGTGAACAGAGTTAAATCCAGTTGGTGGCCGGGCACAAGCGGGGTCCCCCAGGGCTCAGTGGTGGCCCCAGTTCTGTTTAACATCTTCATCCATGACCTGGGCGAGGGGATCGAGGGCACCCTCAGCCAGTTTGCAGATGCCACCGAGCTGGGTGGGAGTGTGGATCTGCTGGGGGGAGGAGGGCTCTGCAGAGGGACCTGGCCAGGCTGGATCCATGGGCCCAGCCCAACTGGGTGAGGGTCAACAAGGCCAAGGGCCGGGTCCTGCCCTGGGGTCACCACAACCCCAGGCAGTGCT